TACTCAATCATTTTTAACTATTACTTATGACTTCTTCATTTGATTTTTAATGGTCTGAGCAAATTCTATAATTTTTTGGGCGTACAAATTAAGTAGCTGAAGTTTCAACTCAGGTTTTTAGTATCGACTGCTTTCTGGATTAAAATGATGATTATGATAACCATTCCTAATGGGATAGAGTGTTGTTCCATAAGCTGATTATTGTAGCCCTACTTCCATTCTTTTTGACATTTGTTTGCTTTTCATTTTGGTTTTTTTATAACAAATTTTTTCAAGGTAGATTTTTTGTAGATGCCAGATTTACATCTAGTCTAGTAATTTTGTTATTTTTAGCTCATCCAAGTATAGTTTAATTCTCATTTAGAGACTTTAAATGCAAAAATATTGATGGAGAATTAAGGAATTAGGATGATCTTGAAATAATTTGCTGGGATAATGCTCATTCATTCTACAGCTATTTTGTTTCATTACCAAGCATTTTAATATGGGGGATAGGAATTCCTTTTTTTGCATTGGCAATGTTATTCAAACTCAGATAGAATCTAGAAAACTATTATATCAGAGAGATGTATGGGTTTTTATATCGTGGTTATAAAATTGAATTCTTTTACTGGGAAATCGTGATAATGTACAGGAAAATTGTTATTATTTTTATCTCCGTTTTCATTAGTAGCTTTGGAATAATAGCATAAGCTCTAATTATGTTTCTTGTCCTTATTTCGTTCTTAATGTTTAACTCTAAATACCAACCATTTAATACGAAAGCCTTAAATGAATTAGAGACACTTTCATTAGTCACCTCAATGGCAACAATTTATTGTGGATTATTCTTTATTCTTGACAAACCTTAATAATGGATTGATAATAATCCTGACTATGCTAATAGTTCAGTTTCACTTTCTGTTTTCTTCAAAAGATTTTTCTTTGCGATAATTCTGATATCTAACATTTTGTTCTTTATTTATTGGGCATTTAAAATGTCTTAAGAGATCAGATCTAAATTTAGAAGAAATTTTTAGCAGATTTACTTAGCTCTTTGTGCTTGCCAAAATAAAAGAAAATTAGTACTAGAAAATTTTTAATATGACATTAAAATAGCTTTAGAAAAGCAAGACTAAGAATTATAGAAGTTAATAAAATAACTCCAGGAAATAATGATTGGAGGCGATATAAAAATCAATGAAAAAATAT